GGTGGTGTTGGTGAGGAGCTTGTGCTGTCGCCGCTTGTTCAGATTAGCCTTGCAAGAGCAGAACATCGCCATTGCTAGCAACCCAACCGCCAAGGACACTGCACCGACAATGTACGTCAACTTGTTGAGACACATGTCCGACGTGCCTGCGAAAGAGGATAAGAAAAGAAAGAAAAACCTCGCTCACACATTTCTCTACGTGACGTAGGGCAGAACAGATGTTCTTTACGTTAGGCCACGCCGTTTTTTTCTATGTTTCGCGTCACCTTATCCGATGAAATCAATGAGGGAGGGCGAAAAAAATAAAAAAGCCATCCAAAAAAAAACAGTGTACGTGCATTGCATTTGTACATAATTGTGTACAGTGAAGCGACGCGGCACTGTTCATGTACATTTGCTGTATTTTCATCATGTGTTTTACCAGTTTCCGTCTTTGCTAATTCGTTTCAAATTCAATGTATCCCTTAGTTGTCATCACCCGTCCTCTATAGTTTTACCTCGTTCTGGCGCCCATTTCCTTAAATCCCCTCTCTTCAGTTTATCTGTGGAATGGAACAAACTTCCAGAACACATCCGCTGCGTTCAGTCCTCTGTCAATTTTCGCATTGCTCTAAAGGCTCATTACTCTCAGCATAGATATTCTCTGACTGGAATTCCGAACTTTTCCGTTTGAGAATTTTTTTTCCTTGAAATTAATCCTTAATCCTTGCTGGGTTTTTTTTCATCTAAATGTCCCGCTATTATCTGCAGAGGTGATTTCTTCCCTCGTCGATTTCTTTCCTGCTTTTATACCTCGATATTTAGGTACTTGTTTCCCTTCTTCCCATGCTTCATCTTCCACTCTCCTCTCCCCATTTCCCCATTTTTCTTGCGATATTTATGTGGGAGACTTCCGTGATAAGCATCCATTTGCTTTTGGAGAATCCTTTTAAATAAATACAAATACAATACATTAACATGTCCATGAATAGCAGATTACATGAGTGTATCCCCTCTGCCATGCTTGTGGTCCAAACACAGGAGGCATGATGATTGTGTGACTTGCGGCCCAGCTTATTGCACACACATGTACATGTACAATGTACATGTGTGTGAGCTGAGTTGCATTTTCCGGTTTTCTGGATTTGCATTAAATTTGTATTGCATTTTCCAAAAAAAAAAAATTTTTGTTCCGTTTTTTTTTTTTGAACTCCGGCTGTACAGTGTGAAATACATGCGCGCGGGGGAGGCGAAACATAGATAAAAACGGTGTGGCCTTACGGGAACGCGACGAGAGTTCCCGGGATTCTTCGCGTCGCGTTCCCGTAACGTAGAGCAGACCCCCACTACTGGTATACACAGCAACTTGATTGTAGGATGATGAGATAGCATCGCTTAGCTGCTAGTGCGTGTAGCAGCAATACCCGGGACAGAACTGTGCAGAAGACAGCCGTTTCCCAAGACCTTTTACTGCTGTGACAGGTCAGGCTATGGCTTCGCTCCCGTCATGAGACATGTAACAAGCTACCGTAAAGCCGGAACAATTCGGTGGAGTTTTTTCTTTCGGTAACTTCGGTACAGGTAATTTTTACCTAAAATAAAGCACGACCAAAAATTAAACCATGCCATGCCACACAGTGTGCAAATTGCATTTTTGGATCTGGAAAACTGGTTTAACGAAATTTCCGCGATGCCAAACCGTTGATTTTTGGGAAATACCGAACATATTCCCCCCACTGAAAATTCCCAGATTTACAGGATGACTTACAGGTCACGTTCGGGCTGGCACTGTTGCCAGCGTCACCAGTGCTGCCTGCTGGAGTGTCTGCGGTGCTGGTCACTGTCTGGTTGCTGGGTACATGGCGCATGCTGCTTGTGGCCAGGTGCTGGGTGAACGTTTCACTGACACTGCTGTCAGCACTGCTGCTGTTTTTGTTTGAACTTCCGCCCCGGTTACTTGGGCTGCTTCCCTGGGTACTCATACCCACGCCCGGGGTGCTTGTACCCCAGGTCCGGGTGCTTGTACCCCAGGTCCCGGTGCTTGTACCCCAGGTCCGAGTGCTTGTACTGCTGGCCTGGGTAGTGGGACTGGGATGCCTCGTTGTCGGTGCGTGCGTGGTGACGAGGGTGCCTGCTGCGGTGTGCTGAGCTGCAGTGCTGCTTGTGGCAAGGCTGGTCGCTAAAGCACTCCCACCACCTACACAACACAACAAAACACCGCAAGAGAACAACACATCATCAATTCGCTGCTGAAAGGAAAGTTGAGGTTTAAAAAAATTCTACGTCGCGTGAGAGTTTTCCGCTTCCGCAGGAACGCCACCACCCTCTAGGATCCCCATCCACGGCATCAAGAGTAGATAAACAAGAGAGAGCAACTCCGGATCTCTCCTGCACAATCTGCAGATACCCCCGCCCACGGCGGAACTTTTGTTGACGTCACCTTTTTTTCAGAAGAACGCGCATTTTGCTGCAGAGCAGTGTGAGAGCACGTGCTGGGCACCGGCTTTGTAGTGCAAATGCGGCCAAGTGCACGAGGGAAAACTTTCCAAAAGACTCATAGCGCGTGCGTCGTCGAAAAGATTACGTCAACAAAAAATTCCGCCGTGGGCCAACCCATCCGCGAGTTGCACACTCTTGTTTATCTACTCTTGACTGCATCCATGAGCATCCTGAGATGTAAAGTTGAGCAAATATTCGCACCTAACCCGCATATTCGGAGCGATGCTGCTTTGAAAAAGGGTACGCTAGTTGCAGTGTGCGACTCTTGCATGGGTTTGGGAAGGTGAACCTTGTCATTAATGCCCACGACGAGCCGTGGGCGACTGGAATCCCCAGCTACACTGCTATGTACGCCATTTTTTCCGTTTTCCGAGCACGCACCATACAGACGCACCATTAGTATATTATTATTCTCGTATCCGTTCCCAAGGGGAACTCACGACAATGGAGTGAAAAACATAAACAAAAATAAAAAAACATGGTGATGTGGAGATAATAGTGTTGCATACATTGAGTACAAAATAATACAGATACAATCAGTGCTTCGGATGCCTGTGTAGACCCTGATACAGGTCCTCCCTCATTATAACGAGTCCGGTTTATTTATTTATTTATTACAGCATCTCATAGCACAGTGAGAACACCGGCCAATACAAAGAGAGAGGGTGTTAGCCAACCACGGCAAGGAAGGGAGAAGGGGAGGAGAAGAAAAAAACGGTTACTACATAAACCCCGTTAGTAAATAGAAATCTGAAATCCCCTGGCGAAATGTGGTCTACACAACTGTTTACAGGTCCGCTTACGACCAGGTCCCTGGACAGCCAAACCCTCAGTATAAGATAATATTGACCATGCAGGACCAAGGCCAAAACACGTAGGATAAAGCGGAAAGAGGAAACGTATTATTATTATTATTATTATTATTTCACCGTCCAATGGCAGAAGCCAATGCAAAGGAGGGGGCGTTAGCCAGCCATGGCAAGAGAAGAAAAAAAAAGAAGAAAGAATGAAGGAAAGAAGATGATAATCGGAAGAAAATAATGCATCAGCGGGGTGAAATGTATCGCTATGTTGACCATGGTGGAGAGCGGCGAGATAAGCTAGCAAAAGAGGCGAGCGAGCCTACAACGTGGCATGACATTTAACATGGTCTATGAACTGTCTAATATTGGATATTGTCTTCATTTCCATGGGCAGCTTGAGCCAATACGAGTATGCAGAGAAGATAGGAGATTTGGTAAACATAGTTGACAAAGCTCTGGGAAGTACTATGCCATTGCGAGTGTCCCGTGCGAAAGTAAACCAATTATACTTGGTGAGATGTTCAGGGACAATGTTGAGTTTAATACGATGGACCAGAACGCATGACTGTCTCTGCGACAGGATAGAGATGGGGCTGGTGGAGGCCAAACTATATAGATCAGTAGAGGGGAAAAGAGTGGGTTTACGAAAAATAATTTTCAACACACGTTTATGATGTATTTCTAGTGTCTGTACAGCAGATTTACTAAGCAGGGAATGCCAAGCAGTGGCGCCGTACAGAAAGATAGGAAGGAGGTAGCATTTATAAAAGAGACGAATACATTCGGGAGACAAGTGGGAGCAGTGAGACATCAGGCAACCTACAGATTTGCTAACTTTGTTGCATACAAAATCTACGTGAGAATTCCAGGACAATTGCGAGTCAAATACAACACCCAAATGCCTGTGCGTATCTACAATAGTAATATTAATAGCCGAATCAAGTCCGGGAAGGGTAAATGTAGGAGGGTGGTCTATTTGAGGGTGAAAGACTATTTCTGTTTTCAAGATATTGGGTTTCAGACGCCATGACAACATCCATTCATGAACAACATTGATTCCAGTCTGAAGCTTCGTACACAGGTTTGCAATGTCAGCGTCAAACTGAATGAGGGCTGTGTCATCAGCAAATAGTGACAAACCATCTATACAGTCAGGTAGATCGTTTATATACAACAAGAATAGTAGAGGCCCCAGTATAGATCCCTGGGGGACTCCCGACTTCACAGGCAGTGGGTCTGAGAGTACCCCTTCGACTGACACTGATTGCGTTCTATCTGTTAGGTAGTCCGTAATCCACGCCAGAGACGCTCCGGAAACATTGTACATCGCAGATAATTTAGCTAGGAGTCCACGGAACCATACCGTGTCAAACGCCTTGGCTAGGTCGAAAAAACACATGCCAACATGTTGGTGGTCATGACGAAGGGCCACAATGTCCTGCACAAGGCGTGTCAGCTGCATGGTGGTTGAGTCTCCTCGTTGAAAACCAGATTGGACTGGGGCAAGGGCCGGCGACACATGAGCATAAAGCTTATCAAAGAATAATCGCTCACATAGTTTCGATACACAGGACAACAAGGAGATAGGACGGTAATTGCTGGCTTGTGACTTGGAGCCTTTGCTCTTGTAAACCGGAACAACCTTCGCGAGTTTCCATGCTGCTGGAAATTTACCCGTCGAAAAGGACACATTAAAAATGCGGCAGAGGGGGTACGAAATCGACGGGGCAAGTTTCTTCAGGACATCATTCGTAATGGTGTCCAAGCCAGGACTGCGGCGAGACTTTAGTCGGGCGATAGCCTTTCTAACATCCGCAGTTGTGGTGATAATCTGAACAAATGTTTCAAGAAGTTGGCTGTGGGCACGAAGAGCTGGAAGTGATAACGACGGATCATCCGGCACAGCAACGGAGGCGAACTGCTGGTTGAGGACTGTAGCCTTGTCGAAACTGCCAGAAACTGGATGACCGCCTTCATCAATGAGGTGAGGAAGGCCACGATCCTGCTGACGATTCCGCTGAGAACGAACAAACTGGTACATGTTAAGGTTACCTGACGCCATGCTGGCCTGTATAGATGCCAAATAGTCACGGTGAAGAGATCGAGATAAGTTTCGTACTCTGTTACGCTGAACTTTGAAGGCAGACTGGTTAGCTGGGGTTGGGAACTTCCTATATCGGCTGTAGAGTTCGTACTTCAACTTGATGGCAAGTACTAAATCTCGATTAACCCACGGAGGATATTTCCTAGATACAGCTCGCTGGGTGGAGGAAGAGATTTTCCGATAAGGCGACAGGTAGTGGGAAAATGCATCATTCAAGGAAGAGGAGAATCTGGCTAATGCGTCGTCGACATCTGGTGTGTCCATGAGATCATACCAGTTGAGCGAGGAAAGGTACATATTTACTGCTACCCAGACAGAAGGTGGCACTTGCGCAAAATTGTATGGAGTGGCTGGGGAACTACGGGCAGGATAGCATGGTACTTCCTTTGTAGGCATTCGGGTTACAGTTCTGTAGAAAAGGGTGGTAACTACCTGTGAATGGTCGGACGCACCAAGCGGGGCAGCATCGTCGACAGAGAATACTGATTGAGGACGATTGGTAGCGAGCAAGTCTAGGCACGACAGGGTTCCGTTTGGAGAGGTGTGAGTGGGAAAATCTACCAGCTGGGAGAGACCGAAGCTGGAGAATATATGCGAAAGTTCCTTTCCAGCGCGTGATGTAGCGTCACCGCTCCACCAGTCAGAGTTGTGAGCATTGTAGTCACCAGTGAGGAATATATCAACGGATGAGAGGTCTACAGCCCGTAGGGTATCCGTCATCATGTCACAAAATGAGGTAAGTTCAGGTAGGGATTGCGAAGGAGGGCGATACTGACAGCCAATGAGTATAGGATTAGCACCCAGGTCTGCAGGAAGTCCAAGCTCAACCCATATGTTTTCGCATTGGGGAGAGTCAAGGTCTGAGCGCTGGGCTGCATGCAAAAATGTCCCATCTCGTACAAGGATGGCAACACCACCATAACCTCGGAACTGGGCCCTTTGGTTCGCTGGTATTGGCCTATCTCGACGGAAGCACGTATAACCGGGTACACTGAGCATATGTATCGGGCAGAGCCAGGTTTCTGTCAGACATAGGATAGTCGGTGTGTTGGATCGACACAATGCATGGAGTTCAGGGATTTTGTTCGACACGGAGCGACAATTAATCGTAACAATAGTGATGTTATGTTGAGTCTTAGGAAAATATGGGAAGGCCTGGGCGCTCAGCGGTGCGGAAGCCATCATTCTGACGACGTGGAGGTTTTACCTGGTTTGTTCGTATTTGAATCTGCAAACCGCCACTTTCTTACGGTGTGCTGGATAGTTGCAGGCCAGAATCCGTCACCCAGTACCTTTTCCGTAGCTGAGGCTGGGAATGTCACTCTGGCGTAAGCTGTTCCGAAGGTGCGGGATTCCAAGATGGTGCAGTTGAGCACATCCACTGCACGCTCTTGACACCAATCCTTGATGGAGTCGGCACTGCAGCCCATGTGGACGTTTCCTACATAGAATATCGCTTTGTCCACCTTTTCGACACCTGTCAGGACTACAGGGTTTGTTTCGACCGTGGGCATAGGCTTGACGTACCGAGATGTGACCCGACGTCGTACAACATCGACCCAAGAGCTCTGTCCATCTGATTTGTTGCGGGAACTGCTGTCCGTAGTGACGTGACCGTTGCCAGCAGGTCTAGGTGCTGTACGAGTAGTGTCGCTGGACTGGGAAGCGGCACGTGGTTGCGAGTGCATACCGGTAGTACGGTCATTTGAACTTGAGCGTGCATGCTGCGATGTGGAGGTGTGCTGTGATTGCGGTGCAGTGGTGATGGATGTGTCAGTTTCATACAGGGAGGGCTCTACGGTAACTTCGTTAGCACTTGTGCGACGGTTGTGGGTGTCATTGGCAGTTTGAGAAAGTGCGCCTGTAGTGAAGTTCCTCAGCTCTAGTACTTCCAATTTTAGGCTGGAAACCTCATCCCGAAGTGAAGAAACAATGGCATTATCATGCTTCGCTTGCTCAAGTTGCTCTCTTAGCTCTATCACCACACATACAAGCTCGTTTAGAGACTTCAGACTACTACTAGTACTGACCTCATTGGCCTTGATCGGGGTTACACCCACACCAGCTTGTCTTAGGGAAACCACAAGATCAACTCGGCTCTTTGACTCGGCTCCGTCAATAGGATGCTGTTTGGCAAGATGCCGCAGCTCTTCGAAAGTCAGCAAGGCGAGGTCGATGTCCATATTCAATGCCATATTCCTAGTGTGTCCAGATCAAGTTCTCTGCCACAGGGACCTAAAGTAAGCGGAGCTTAAAAACTTGCATCCGCACCTCATGTACATGACACACCGATTATGTCTATGTATTCGTGAATATGGACGATCCTTTGCATCCAAGGAAGAGTTATGTTGGAGTAACTTGGAGATTTTCAATTATCTCATAACGAGTTGAAGCATCGATAATTTATGTTGTATCGAGGGTAGCCCCGGTAAGTACGAAGTAGTGCCTATTTCACCTTTAGCTGCAAGTCCTGCTACAAGATAAGTCTCGTTATAAGATAACTTTTTTGATGGCCCAGAGATTATCTACTAACGAGGGAGGAGCTGTATAGTAGTGAGCACAAGCACCGTCCACACACGTAAGACAGTCCATGTGTTCATGTGATGGCCGAGCACCATACACAAACAATATTCTCAACACGTCATTTACAGTGAGACGCCGGTATAGCGAGCATCCATGGGTCCACGGGTCGTACAAATCTGTTTAATGGAACTCCCCAGACCCGGGCAGGTTGGACCCGGGCGCTGGTCGTAACTAGGAATTGCCCACAAGTGAGAACAAGATCAGTTGTCTGAAGATTGCCGGAATTGTTTCTGGCGTGAAACTAATACTGGTCTGACTATGGGTGACTGGCCCGAAACGTCAATAATTTTTTCGACATCACTAATAAAAGAATTGTCATCCAGCGCATGCGCCGAGAGTGAGTAGCAACTAAATAGAGCGGTTGTCAGTTGACAACCCCCCTTTTATGAAACTAATAGTCACAAAAACTCAGACGTGTGGTACTCTGTGACTCGTGTAATACAGCTCTGCTACTGTCGGCACCAAGCACTCTATCGAACCGGAGGACTCCGCTCTCCAAATCAGAACATACATACGTTTCGCATGCAAGTAGGTACTCTCAACGATTCGATTGAGTATTCGAGGGTGGCGTGGGCCGCGTACGCCTTGACACTGCTTTCGTCTGATTGGTTGGATCTCTTCGGCCACGAGTGTAAAATAGTGGTTTGAATCTTTAAAAACAAATTGCCCACTGCTGTAGACAGCAAGCTGCTTCGGCCACATTAGCCTCATCAGTACAGCTCCGAGCTTTAAGTACCAGCCATGGTGCAAAGGAGGCACGGCAGACGTTAAGATAGCTTGTTGAAAAATAAATAATTCTAGATTTCTTCTTAGGTGAGGACTACATGTACACCATAGCTTAGTGGGAGAGAATTGTTGGCCGTAAATGAGGGTCCCTGGTTCGACGAGTCATGGTGGCGACATTCAATTTTTTCTTCAGACTTTTCCCGTTCACACCTTTCCCTCAAACTACCATAATTCCCTGAAGATAAGTCTCACCATTGTACACTAAATGTCACGGCCAACAAAGGGGGTGCGACGGCGGCGAATCGCGCATGATTACTGCTGAAGTGAACATTGAAAGGATATGACATAGCGCTACACCTGGACATAGTGCAGGCAGACATAGTGGGATGGTCTAAGACCATGATTGAGAAACAGAGGGTACCAGGTTCAAGTCCTGCTTGGAAGCGGAAGGAATTATTCCAGCCGTGCTGCGACCCACAGTTAATTGGGAACTCGTGGGCTGGCACGAGGGTAACATGGATGCAGCTAGTGGGATTTCGGTCTTTGATCACTTGGTGGTGGGTCTGATCTACTCACCTCCCACCGTTTAGGCGCTGCATCTGCACCTTGATCCTAGAGGGTGTTGGCGTTCCCACGGCGGATGCGGAAAACTCGGCTTCCAGCCGAGTCTCACGCGAACCGTGAAATTTAATTTTAATTAGACCTGGACATGGGGGTGCGACTTACAATCGAGCGCGAAGGGTGATTTACTATACAGTATAGACAAATGTGGACACAAGTTATGCGATCGAGTTCACCAACTAAAACAGATTTTGGAACAATCAAAAGTGCACAATCTAGCGCGAAACATTTTTCCACATTTTTTCAGGTTACAATTTGTTCATCATCTGAATTCTTAGCTTACAAGCGAGTGCAACTCACAATCAGAGAAATACACATGTTAGGGGTCGTCCACAAATATCAATATTTTTTTAGAGAAGATATTCGTTCGTTTGGGGGGGGGGGGGTGGTCCCTGTTCGTCTCAACCTTTTGAGAAAGAAAACGATCTCTAAATTTGGAAGGGCACTGTGCAAACATGCAGTTGATGGCCTACACAAAGTGAAAGTCAACCCCAAGAATACAGCCATGGCAAGGATGAGAGACTGTGGCAATGTAAGCCTAAGTTTATGGTGAATTTGGACTTCCTGTTGGTCGTGTTTTGCGGCGAGGAGATTACACTTCATTAAAAAAGTATTGATACCCTGCATAAACGTGTGTACGTTCGTTTCAAGGGGGGGGGGGGGAGATAGGGGTCCGGGAGACATGAACAAAAATCGTCTTGAAAAAAAGATCGATAATTATGGATGGCCCCTTATGCAGGAAACCTCTTACCTGGTGTTCTAGCGCTGGCAGTGTGCAGATAGCTGATGAGCATCAGTACATACACCACCGTCAACTGTCTAGCCAGCTGTTGCCACCGGTATGACTGCCGGCGGCAGGTGGTTGCAGTGGGCGAGTCGGGTGACATGATCACGGGTACTGAAAGAGGCAAGTCGACGGCTGCGTGAGTGTGTATGTGTGTGCGTTCGTGCGTGTGTGCGTGTGTGCGCGCGCGTACGTGTGTATGTGTGTGTGTGTGTGTGTGTGTGTGTGTGTGTGTGTGTGTGTGTGTGTGTGTGTGTGTGTGTGTGTGCGTGTGCGTGTGTGCGTGCCTGCCGGGTGATGCTGAGATTGTTCAGCTGTGCATGCAGCAGTGCAGCACTGCTGCAGTGCTGCACTGCAGTGCTGTTCGACTGGCAAAATTAGCAGACAAGCGGAGTCTGCGGTGTGTGGTCCCGGTCGCGATCCTTCAGTGTTTGGCACCTTCAACGCACATACCCTACACACTCTACACAGACTGGCCGTATGGTGGTGAACAGCGGTCGTGCTGTGCTTGCACTGCTTGCTCCTTGAAGATCTGCAGGAATTGAAGGGAAAGCATAGGCTCCTGTGTCCAGCACTCAAATCCTTATCAAAAGAAGAAGAAGAATATTTGCGGGATAAAAGTTCAGCATCGCTTGAATGTTCAGAAACACACAAACTAGCCTTCGCATCCGCAGGCCACCAATATGCATTTTCACCTTAGTGTCGAATGCTGACCTCACAAGCGAGTCAGGGGAGAGGAGGTTAGTCTCTCAACCAATCGAGCGTGTAACGGCCCATAATCCTGTAAACTGCAAAAGAACTCTTTTTTTAAACGCCTCAAGCCGAACCCCCTTCCCATTCGTTACTGCTGTCTTGGTCTCTGTATCTCATTCTGTGTGTGTTTCTCTCTCACACATACATACACTGTCTCCCCTCCCCCTCACATCCTGATAGTGAATTAACAATGAGCTGAGGCGGGCGGGGGGGGGGGGGGGGGGGGGAGAATGAGTACAGTCAACTTTGCATATAACGACACTCGGTCGGGCATCAGAAAAGTGTCCTTATTCGCGAAGTGTCGTTATACCCAAAGTCTCATTATACGTGTTACAGTTAGAAGGGACTTTGCTCTGGGCATGGAAATTCTGTCGTTATTGGCGAATTGTCGTTATTGGCGAATTGTCGTTATATCCGCAGTCGTTATTAGCGAAGTTGACTCGGTGTAGATGGTATACTGCACATCGTGGAGCCCCACACTTAACACATCAACACACGTCAAAAACAGGTTAAATAGATGACATGGAGACGACAGTTTTAGGATTGCAATCAAGAGGACAAGCTCATTGCACATGCATGTAGTTACCATTTTCAAGCAGTGTCAACCGGTGGAAACAATGTGCAATGGCAAATAAATCAAAAACCTGGGGTTCGACTTTTTCGAATTGTTTCTCTACTGTTCCGTTCATTATATTTATCATCGCTCTTTTTAAATAGCAACGAATAAAACTAATTGTGCACTCATACCGAAGTAACACAGCAAACACGTGTAATACACAATGTGATTTGCGACGGCTATCATTGTGCCGTCGCACCATGCATGTACCATGCACGGGAGCACGAATGAGTCATTTTATTAAGACAGCCTACACTGGCTACAGGCTCTGTGCTACTGTCGTGGACATCAAAATCCGATTGGATGACCGGAGCCAGCGCCCGTACTGCTTTAAGCGCGCACATGCACTGTAGTTTGTTCACATACCGTAAAATTCCCTAAATAACGCCCACCCTAAATAACGCCCATGTCCGATAACAAGCCCAGTTTTAGGCGGTGTACACTTCAAGTCCGTTTTAGCGCCCATGCTTGAAATAAGCCCAGGGCGTAAAGTGGACTCAAAATGACCAGCGCGCGAGCATGCGTTCGCGTACAAACTGTAGCCATGCCGGTACCTGTTGTGCCTTGTACTTACCATAGCAAGTGGTTTACGTATCAAATCTGTAATTTATCGCTACATTCTCGGTTACGACCAAATGTCCAGCTGTGGTTTGATGTACCTGTACCTCGCTCAGTGTGGATCAGGGAGTACCGGTAGTATACTACATTATATACGATCATGTATTATACTACTCCCTGGTGTGAATGGTGGTTCACTGAAACTAGTGGGTTGCTGCTATGTAGACTGATCTTCTGCAGATTGCGTCCGAAATAACGCCCATTCCCTAAAATAAGCCCATGCCCAAATATACGTCCGGTTTTTGACGAACTGCAAAGTATACGCCCCGGGGCTTATTAACGAAATGTTACGGTGCTACACACACTATAAACATGGACCAGCAGGGCTTGTGGCTGCAAGGCCAGCGCCCCGGCCGTGGCCGCTTGACTTCTCAACCGATTCCAGTGTCCGCTACAGTCCATGAGTGTACACTGTTTCCTGCAGAAAGGTACAGGCAGACTTGGCATGCACAGCTTCCATACATGTACGGTCGACTCCACTTATAACGAACTCGCAAATAGCGAATCTCGTAGCATGGCGAACCGCTTTCCATGTCCCAGTTTGAACCCACGGTGCAAGTGCACTTTAATTTTCTGTTGTTACGAACTTCGGCAATAAAGAGGTTATACTCATGCGAAACTTCCTAAGCTGGTTGTGTTTCTCAACGCAATAGGGCTTGAAAGTGATGACGTCAAAAACGGCCAGGGAGTACTAAGTTGACATCAGATTTCTATTTTGGATCCACTAAGGTGTGACTTTGCTATTGCCTCAGTATGTGGGTGCATAGCAACCCACTCATGTCGTATGCAGGGGTGACTTTTACTTCGCCACCAGTTGTAATCCCGCCCCCAGCAGCCAAATCAGTCAGTTTCACTGGGTACATCACCATGCTGTGAGTAAGACGGCTTGAAATGTGCTTGGATCCATATAAAACCTGGATCCAAGCGGATCCGATTTTTGAATTTTTGAAATTGTTGCTATGCTGTGACATACCACTTTCAAGCCCTACAGTAAGATCGGGCGCCGAAGAACGCAGGGGCTCGAGCGCAGCCTAGGAAAGTTCTTAAATTTTTGATTCTAGCCAGACCGTTCTTATTCACACGCGCACGGCGAGTCGAGTGACGTCATGACGTTTGTCATGTACATGTACATGTACATGTAGTGCAATGTAGTACTTCTAAACTAGTGGGTGTCGTAAATTTTTTGGGAGTGACTGTACATGTAGCAGTTACTGTTTACATGACATGTACTCACCTCCCATACATGTACAATGTAGATCTACGTACAATGTAGATCTAGTGTTCTAAATCTGATAATTCTAGCCTGGACTGTTCTTAAATTTTGCCGGTTTTCCAGCCTGGGTGTTCTTCGGCGAGGTGTTCTTCAGCGCCCGATCTTACTGTATTGTATAGCCGATGGTAACGCGGACGTGCAAACTTTACTTTACTTTACCTACTCCTGGACAATGGTGTTCCTTGTATCAGGATTCGACTATACTAAAATAGTTACTTATTGTAGTTTGGCACTGTAAGCCATGCTACACCAGGGCGGATTGCAAAACTGACGACCCACACGCACCCACACGCCTGACAGAGTTCCGTTGCACACCGGCGCACAGCACCACATTCAGTCACGACAATAGAGAGTTTACGCTTCAAGTTTTTTCAATTTCGAAAGTGAGAAAAAAACGTGCGTTGAATTTGACTGTGTTGGAGTTGTGTGGAGAGTTTACGCTGCGCGTGCTGAAATAAGTGAAGAGGAGGTCATGGGGTCGCGACCCGAGGTTGATTCGTTGAAAAACCAAGGAGGTCATGGTGTCGCGACCCGAGGTTGATTCTTTTAGAAAACAAAGGAAAAAATCGGATTGTACTAGAGTGGACCGTATGCGTGTTAAAACAAAATGGCGTCACGATTTATTGAAAGTAGTATAGTTGGTGGAACGAGTGTTCAAACCCATTTGAACTTCATACTGTTCGTCTTCTTTTCGACATGCTCCCTTTCCATCGTCCTTAGCTTTTGTTTGTTGAGAGCTGTTTTGGCTTTCTCCTATACCTCTGGGGGATGCCAAGTGATGGATTTGAGAGGCTGGTGATGGCTGTGAGCGAGAGTTTGCCGATCGGCGTCGTCCTCGCTATAGCGATGAAAATACTAGTTACTGCGCACCTGGCAGATATCACAACACGTCGGAGCGTCCAGGAGCAAAGGAATCTTGGGTTTTCACTGGAATCTAGTTCCTCCAGCATCGTGTAGCCCACCGTCGGTGAATGGCGGTCCAGAAAGGTCGAAACTGGTCTTCTGCAGCATCTCGCAGTCCTGCGAGGCACACTGAATACGCCTGTCATGTATTCTACAAATAAAAATCACGAAGTAGTGGACTTTACAGTGATGAGTCTATTCTGTATGCTGCAAAAGACGCAGGAAATGTGACTGGTGTCCGTACACTGGACGCCAATAGCATCCCAGTCTTCTCCTGCAGGATCTGTTTGACATTGACATACCGGTATGCAGTGGGTCGACATTGGCCTGGTTTGGCAGCTATCTGCCTGGGTGGATGTAGCAGGTTTGCATTGGCGCATCGTCCAGTCCGACATTTTCTTGTAACTGTGGAGTACCGGCAGGGTTTGAGAGGTTGCTCGTGCTGTGAACACATCTCTACTGCCTGTCTCGTCCTGGAAGTGCCGTCTCGCCGCTTCCTTGCTCTACAGCCACGCCGTTATTTCGCTTTGTTTCGTGGTGCAGCTCAAAACCTGCCCAAACAACTGTGAGCTCGCAACATGGTATGGACAAATTGCACCACTCATGCTGGTTAACTAAAACCGGGATAGTCGAGTAAGCGAGTTCACTCCCTGGGCCATGGCAAGATCTGTTCAGCGCGGGCTATTCCAACCTCCAAGTGCATAGTCACCGATCGATCCATGCGATGGTGGTTGACCTACAAAGAGCCAAGGTCTACGAGTACTACTATTGGATGCTGTCTACATGCAGTCAACAAAATCAAAGTACCTCAGTATGCCCCAGAACAGGGCATGTGCATCTATAGCATGACACAACAGGGGTTCTGGCGGCACCTGTCAAACAAGCAGTAGCGACTAGTGCCAGCTACCTATTGGAGGCTAGCCGCTACAGTCTGTCACTGGAGATAATTATTATGTTCACTGTTTAGACTGAGCACAGTCAATGATGCCCAATCAATCTGCCCAATGTGTGTTCTGTTCCACCTAATTATAACGTCCCATCGCATCAACCCTACTACACGCACATGTCGTCACTCTAGCACGACTTGTGTTATTATTGTTTATTTTGATTCGCACGATAAATAGAGCACAGTAAACGTTAACTTGACCGAAGGTTAAAGGCAACTGCAGATAGAGGAACACATCGAGGTACAGGTACCGGCATCAATACAGTATCAGAGAGAAACAAACAAAATGAGAGGTACGCAGAAAAAACTCTCGTAAGCCCAAGGGGAAGTGGTTGATGAGGGATGAATGCACTCTCCACGCTCGTCTACACTGTTCGTGGAAATGCACACATACATACAATAATATACAACATAGCAATAGCATGCACAGAACCGAACAATTTCATGTTCACACATGCAAGCACAGACCTGAACATTAGTACCAAAAGCCGATACAGACAATATCCCCATACACACAGACGCACACACACACACACACACACACACACACACACACACACACACACACAATGTCCCATGTATGCGCCCGTGGCGAGAAAAGCACGCAAATCTAAAAATGCACTGGATGTGAACCCACAGATTTTCTCTTTAAGCACCGATAGCGGATCTGATTCTGAATGAAACACACACACAATACAATCATTGAATGCCCATCCGCAGATGATGGCAGGTCCTGAAAGAACAGGCAGTGTTCCAGTGATGGGGAACAGAACTTCGAGTGGCGAGTGAGGTATACACACACACACGTGCGTGCGCGGGCACACACCAAAGTATGAAGAAATAGAATCGACATCGTAGTATTCATTGGTTGGGGAATGGAAAGGAAAATAAAACATTGCTGTAGGTTATTGTTGTAAGGACACTGGGAGCACAACAGAAAGGTAAGCAACTTGCTTTGAAGCAAAGAAAGTTATTATTCCACGGATCTCAGAAGGAAGGAACGTTCCAGAATGCTGCACTGGCAACAGGCGGCCTGCATGTGCGCGGCCCCTGCAGTCGGTCCAGCTGCCGGCCTTGCAGTGCTGAAAATAATGTGCAGTACAGCATGTCACATAGTATCGCAGCCTGGACAAATAGGCGCTGGGAAGTCCTAGTTATGTGCTCACCTACACCACGATGCACCAATCTTCTGAGCTACTTTGGCAACAACTTTGTCCACTTGAGACTCCCATGGGCTGAGCCAGTTGTTGAGGGCTGCATCAAGGTGGACGGCAATGACCGCTGATGGCAAGGCAATCCGTGACACACAGTCACTAGGGCATCGTCAACATGGCGCTGAGGCTGGATCGATAAAATCAACCTTTAGGCTGCCGCGGGGTTGACAACGAGGCCGCTGTCTCGAAGCTAGTCAGTCAGCCTGGTCACCGCCATTGACGAACCAGCCGCCACCGCCAGCAGTGGCGGTAGGTTGTGACAAGTGTGGTGCAATATTGTCAGCAAATTCAGTACTCAGGATAAGATGAGTGACAAAGGGAACGTTGTGTTTGATAATATTGAAGTGAACAGGGATGATCACAAACCCTGCGCGTACTCTACCGTGAGTTACAAGAAAATTCCGGACTGGACGACGAGCAAACACCAACCTGCTACATCCAACCAGGCAGATACTATTACGATAGCTGCCAAACCAGGTCCATGCCGACCTACTGCATAATGTCACTGTCAAACAGATCCTGCAGGAGAAGACTGGGGTGTTGGCGTCCAGTCACTGAGTGTACAGACACCAGTCACATTTCCTGCGTCTTTTGCAGCATACAGGATAGACTCATCACTGTAAAGTCCACTACTTCGTGATTTTTATTTGTAGAATATATGACAGGCGTATTCAGTGTGCCTCGCAGGACTGCGAGATGCTGCAGAAGGCCAGGTTCGACCTTTCTGGACCGCCATTCACCGACGGTGGGCTACACGATGCTGGAGGAACTAGATTCCAGTGAAAACCCAAGATTCCTTTGCTCCTGGACGCTCCGACGTGTTGTGATATCTGCCAGGTGCGCAGTAACTAGTATTTTCATCGCTATAGCGAGGACGACGCCGATCGGCAAACTCTCGCTCACAGCCATCACCAGCCTCTCAAAACCATCACTTGGCATCCCCCAGAGGTATAGGAGAAAGCCAAAACAGCTCTCAACAAACAAAAGCTAAGGACGATGGAAAGAGAGCATGTCAAAAAGAAGACGAACAGTATGAAGTTCAAAATTAATGGTTTTGAACACTCGTACCACCAACTATACCACTTTCAATAAATCGTGACGCCATTTTGTTTTAACATGAATATCGCGGGTTATCTAGATTCCCGAGATTCTGGGCAAAACACCGTTGGAATTACTTGAATAAACTCACGCTTTTTTCCACTGTGAGTTGGCCCGCTGTCGCGTTGAAATCTCACGTTTCAACGTGAGATGCTCCATTTTGGCGTGAGATCTCACGTTCGAAATTGAAAAAACGTGAAGCGTAAACTCTCTAATGATTATGTCAATGACACGTCCGCACAAACTACAGAGACAGAGAGCACTTACTTGACTTCTTGAGCCGGTAGCGAGAGAGAGAGACTCACTGGCGGAAAGCAAATAGAAGCTGAGGGAGAAAGATGGGCTTGGGACTCGATACCACCACGTCCTCCCTAGGTACTCGCCTCACGCTAGAGTAGGCCTCCAACAAATCGTATGCGTGCATTCATCCATGCCCATTCGGTAGAGGAAACTGCTCGACCTGAAATACACTCGCTAACCAAAGTCATCGGATCTGGACTTCTTGTTCCAACGCGGGAGTGATCGTTCAACCGCCACCGCGAAACACTTCTTTGGCTTGAGGTTTGGGAGCCTCTGTCAAACCATCACAATTTTTAGGAAGCGTCTCTGAGCCTTGCAAGACATTTGTGCAGCCACAGGCCACCAGGCAGGGGCATATTCGCTGCGTCCCACACCTGTTCCTGACGGCCCTGGCGCGCCCCGCGCCTGTTTGCAAGACGAACACACCGCCACACGCTCACACACTGCAGCACGGGCGAGGCCGGGAAGAAGAGAAGGAAGAAAGGACTCACTTCCCCACACCTAAGCAGGCCTCGTGTTGCATCAGGAGCCTAGCAGGTGCTCAGAACGAAGGAACACTCGTACACGAGAAGACCCACAGCCTGCGGGTGCATGCTCGTCTTTGGCCCACACACACACATGTCCGACATTTCCTTCCGTGGTGTGTTCTCCGCCTGGTCGTACTGTTGACGCATGGAAGCGGATCGCCAAGGCTAAGGGAGCGGGATGAACAAGGAACTGAGAATAATTAGTTATTATGATTTATATTTCTTTTCAAGCAGTTGTTTGGAGGCGGTAAAAAAACAGTTTCGTAATCAATAATCGCATGCAACGACGCAAATCCACACAGTAGACACTTCCTTTTATCAAACGTTTTCTTTCCCTTCTCTTCAGGATAGTACTACAATTGTAGGTGTTGGCGGATAATGCCGGCATTAGGCCAAGTAAAATAAAATCCCAGTTTATCGTCCTTTTTTTCACAAAAATCGGGGAGGGAGGGCGGATTTTATTTTTATTTTTTATTTTTTGATGTGCTACAGACTAGTATAGTTCTTGGTAAACAATGACACATCATGTGCAACAATCTGCAACAGAATAGTGGTAGTGTATGGAATACACAATGCTATAACAGTTATATGTACATAAACAATGTACATGCAAAATCTTTGGATCGACAGATTGTCACTCCACTCATAAGACACAAACCCCAATACTGTTTGGTTCACACAGACCACCAGATAAATGATAGAAAGCTGCAAAATTCTAGATTTAAAAATAAAAATAAATTCCGGGCGGCCTCGAAAAATGGGGCGGGCGGGGACGATAAACTAGGATTTTTTTTACTTGGCCTTATATCGAGCATTATACACCACCCGGAGCATTACGAGCATTATAAAGCATTACGAGGCCAAAAATGGCATTATACGCGACGTTCTAAATGACTGCATAGTAGATCTACACACATCCTCATGTACAGATTCGTATCGGCTTGATCACCCGAGTGCAGAGGCGTGCCCTCCACATCCTGGGACCCAACATCTTGCTACAGAGCCTCGAGGCCCGACGGACAGTGGCGGCGCTGACTTTCGTCTACAAGCTACTGGGCAAACCGGGTCCTCCTCTGCTGAGATCCATGGTCCCTCCTCTCCTTGTCCACCACGCCGCACCTGTAACCCGGAGACAGTGCCAACAGTCTGCTTCACACCCCTACCAACTGGAAATGTTCTCCCTCCAGTCGCTCCTAACTACCTAAGACGCTCCTTTCCATACAACATCATCAACACCTGGAACGCGCTGCCATCCTCCCTCTTCACCAAACCACCATCTCCTAAGGGCCTACAATCCTTCAAAGCGAACGTCCACTACCATCTTCGCCGAAGCCAGTGGCTTTGGGCCGCAGACTCCCTCTAACAGTTCAGAAAAAAGGCGCTAACGCCTATTGGGAATTCCCTAGTAAAAGAAGAATAAATAATAACTATTTCCATCTTGAAGCTCCCCCCCCCCCCAAGCATTGCATCATGTCCATTGCATCTGAACTGCCTTTGAATCTATTTTTCTCTCTTCTTGTTCTCTCTCCACCCCCTTTCTCTCTCTCTCTCTCTCTCTCTCTCTCTCTCTCTCTCTCTCTCTCTCTCTCTCTCTCTCTCTCTCTCTCTCTCTCCTCTCTCTCTCTCTCTCTCTCTCTCTCTCTCTCTCTCTCT